TTTGGCTTTTGTTGCCATTGCTTTTGGTGTTTTAGTCATGAAGTCCTTGCCCATGCCTATGTCCTGAATGGTAATGCCTAGATTTTCTTCTAGGGCTTTTACGGTGTTACCTAAGACCTTTCCTAACTTGATAGACTGCTTTCTAAAGTAACAACATATCACAAGATTAAAGAAATACTTTATCTAAAATAGGAATCAAAATAAGTTGTGTCACTATTCCAGGGACTATTAGGAAGGCTACACAAAATAATAATCAGGAAAATAAGATATCCAGTATTACAAGAGATAGAATAATTATCAATATTTACTGTACCTAGATTGTCAAACACTAAACAAATTATAATTAATTTGAAAATTACTGAAAATGTTAAGAAATATCAATTGGTTTGCGAGAAACAGAATCAGAAGAATAGAAAATTTAAAAATGAGAGAATATACTCAATACTATATAATAATAAGGATATTGGGAAATTAAACCCTCATGTAACATTGATCAATTTTAGACTGTTACAGTCTATTTATAGAACAATCTAGTAGTTGTAGGTGAAATGAAACATGTTTGTGTCCTGCCATTCTGCAGTCTCCTCTTCACAATGTCCTCCAGAGTAATTCTTACATAAGGGGATCTTTAAGAACAATGAAACTTATATGAGGCAATTATCATAATGTTATATTGGTAAAAAGTTAGAATTTTCCTGAGTGTCAGTCATGGGGAAGGGGTTAGTAGAATATGGAGGGTGTGTACTGTAAAGTGGATAGAAGCAAATAATCAAATATGCATACAGAAACATATTATCCTTAAGCCAGTGTTGAATCAACAAAAAATTAGAAACCAAAATTATACTATAGCTTGAGAATAGTTAGAAAAACACAGAAGCAGCCAATGTATATACTTAACAAACATAACATCTTTTTCAAAGGCATATAGCAAATGTATTATTGTAGATCCTTATATGGAAGAGCATAGAAACATGTAGATAATAAGGGAAATAAACAAGACAAAGCAAAATTAAATTAAAAAGGAGCCTAAATACAAATATAGTACCCTATGTACTGAGAAATAAGAGTAACTCAATTCTCTGACCATGAGACTATAACATAAAATAAATGTCATTTAATCAAATAAAAATACATTATGTATCATGATATACTAATCCTATGTTTGGAGCCTAATTTTTCCAACAACACCATAAGGTAATTTATAGTATTGCCTCCCTAGGGTGTTAAATTTGTACACACTTATCTATTATGACACAACAAATGTAATCAACATTTTAATACCTCAGGAATGGATGTTTTATTTCAATAATGCAAATAATTTAACTCAAATAGAAGTAAAATTTATGAATTTTCTAATTTGTGCTCGACATAGCTCTTTCGGTATTTAGCTATTGTAAATTGTTTGGATGTGAGTATCCATTATACTTTTAAACCAGTTGACTCTGAGTGCTTCTGGTTCCACCATAAAATTTGATAAATAAACTTTGTAGCAGAAAAGAAAACGTATTTGCTCTTTGAGGGTAAACCTATTCTCAATAATATAATTTCAAAAAGAGACTAATTTATATGAGGTATGGGTGTGAAGCTGCAGGCTGGAAAAGACTCTAATGACTTGTGAGTGGCACCATTAATAACTTCTGTGTGTTCTTATTCAGAGTATCAGGAAGCTGCTTTGTACTGCATGGTTTCTTTCCTTTCCAGAGTCTCACTTGGAAGAAATCATTGAGTTCCAAAAGCCCAATACTAATAAGAACAATTTCCCTATAGCATTTGTTGGCTGGAGATGCAATTCTATGTTTTCAAAATAGGATTTCAAGTCTGATGTGAAATGGCCCATAACAATCTAATTCCAAATTTTACAGATAGATTGATAGATATTGATATATGTAGATTATTTTGACATATTTTAAAGTACTTTTTACAAAGTAATAAAATATGTTTAGTAAGCAAAACATCTACTACTGATATACCAAGGTGTGTATTGATATAATTAACTTGAATATGTGTACTTTTGATGAATATACAGGAAACATGCGCAAAGGTAAAAACCTGAAAATGTGGCTGGGTCAAGATTTGCATTAAATATGAACTCCAAGGTTAAGCTACTAATCACTACATCTATTTCTATGCAAAACCATGTTAGAAACAGTTCTGAGTAATATTATTAACTGAATGTGTGTGTACCCCCACAGTTTTTATGTTGAAACCATACCCCAATGTGATGGTAGGTGCCTTTGGGAAGTGATTAGATCACAAGAGTAGAATGTTTGTGAGTGGGATTAGTGATCTTAGGAAAGGAACCCCAGAGAGTTCTCTCATCCAATTTCTACCATATGAGGATGCAACAAAACACAGGCCATCTACAAACTGGAAAGGGGCCATCAGTAGATCTTGACCATACTGGTACCCTGATCTCAGACTTCCACCTTTCAGCATTGCAAGAAATACATTTATATTATTTAAAAGTCACCCAGTCCATGGCATCTTCTTATTGCAGCTCACATGGACTAAGACATCAAAGCAGAAGGGAAAAATTTTGTTATCACAGTAGTATCCGAATACTGCATTTTCAGAGTGAGAAGACATGATATATATTAATAGGTGTTTACCTATCAGGGTGCCTATCCTCATGAAAGGCAGTCATTTTAGTTTTCATAGGATACATTTTCAATTAGCTTAAAATTCATATGAGACTTCGGATTCATAAGTCCTATTAAAGTACTTTTTATCCAGTTTTCATTCTAAAGTTTTACTATTTGATTTATTTATTTGATTATTTTTTATTGTTATACTTTAAGTTCCGGGGTACATGAGCAGAACGTGCAGGTTGTTACATAGCTATACACATGCCATGGTAGTTTGCTGCATCCATCACCCAGCCATCTACATTAGGTATTTCTCCTAATTCTATCCCTGCCCTAGTCCCCCATTCCACTGTTATCCCTCCTCTAGCCATCCATCCCAACAGCAGGTTGCAGTGTGTGATGTTCCCCCCACCCCCATGGCCAGCTGTTCTCATTGTTCAACTCCACTTATGAGTGAGAACATGCAGTGTTTGGTTTTCTGTTCTTGTGTCAGTTTGCTGAGAATGATGGTTTCCAACGTCATCCATGTCCCTGCAAAGGGCATGAACTCATCCTTTTATATGGCTGCATAGTATTCTGTGGTGTATATGTGCCACATTTTATTTATCCAGTCTATCATTGATGAGCATTTGGGTTGGTCCAAGTCTTTGACATTGTGAACAGTACCAAAATAAACATATGTGTGCATGTGTCTTTACAGTAGAGTGATTTATAATCTCAGTAATGGGATTGCTGATTTAAATAGTATTTCTATTTCTAGATCCCTGAGGAATTGCCACACTGTCTTCCACAATGGCTTAACTAATTTACACTCCCACCAACAACGTAAAAGTGTTCCTATTTCTCCACATCCCCTCCAGCATCTGTTGTCTCCTGATTTTTTAATGATCATCATTCTAACTGGCATGAGATGGTATCTCAATGTGGTTTTGATTTGCATTTCTCTTATGACCAGGGATGATGAGATGTGTGTGTGTGTGTGTGTGTGTGTGTGTGTGTGTGTGTGTGTGTGTGTGTGTTGGCTGCATAAATGTCTTCTTGTAAATGTCTTCTTTAGAGAAGTGTCTGTTCATATCCTTTGCCCTATTTTTATGGGGTTGTTTTTTTCTTGTAATTTTTTTAAAGTTCCTTGTAGATTCTGGATATTAGCACTTTGTCAGATGGGTGGATTGCAAAAAGTTTTTCCCATTCTCTTGGTTGCTAGTTCAGTCTAATGATAATTTCTTTCACTGTGCAGAAGCTTTCTAGTTTAATTAGATCCCATTTTTTTATTTTGGCTTCTGTTGCTATTGGTTTTGGTGTTTTAGTCATAAAGTCCTTGCCCATGCCTATGTCCTGAATGGTATTGCCTAGGTTTTTTTTTTTTTTCTAGGATTTTTATGGTGTTAGGTCTTATGTTTAGATCTTTAATCCATTTTTTGAGTTAATTTTGGTATAAGGTTTAAGAAAGTCATCCAGTTTCAGCTTTCTGCATATGGCTAGCCAGTTTTCCCAACCCCATTTATTAAATAGGGAATCCAATAACAGACAGAGAGCCAAATCATGAGTGAACTCCCATTCACAATTGCTACAAAGAAAGTAAAATACCTAGAAACACAACTTACAAGGAATATGAAGGACCTCTTCAAGGAGAACTACAAACCACTGCTCAAGGAAATAAGAGGACACAACAGATTGAAAAACATTCCATGCTGATGGTTAGGAAGAATCAATATCATGAAAATAGACATACTGCCCTAAGTAAGTTATAGATTCAATGTTATCCCCATCAAACTACCATTGACTTACCTCACAGAATTGGAAAAAAAAAAAAACCTTAAATTTTATATGGAACCAAAAAGAGCCCACATAGCCAAGATAATGTTAAGCAGAAAAAAAAGAAAAAAAAATGCTGCAGGCATCATACTACCTGACATCAAAGTGTATTAGAAGGCTACAGTAATCAAAACAGCATGGTATTGGTACCAAAACAGAGATAATAGACCAATGTAGCAGAACAGAGGCCTCAGAAATAATGCCACACATTTACAACCACCTGATCTTTGACACACCTGACAAAAACAAGCCATTTTATTTATTTTTTAATCATTATTTTTGGTTCATTACAAAACAAGGACGATGTTTATGACAACATAAATTAATTAAGTCACCAGCATAGCTGTGCTTTTACATTTATATTCTTTTTTTCATTCATTCTCCCCTCTACCATTTCCAACCTCTGGTAACCACCATTTTATTTTCTATCTTTATGAGATCCACTATTTAGCTCTAATATATAAGTGAGAACATATGATGCTTGTCTCTCTTTACCTGGCTTATTTCACTTAACACAATGGCCTCCAGTTCTATCCATGTTGCTCCAAATGACAGCATTTTGTTTTTATGGCTAAATAATACGGCATTATTATTGTCTAGGCACTTGTTAATTTCATATTTTGGCTATTGTGGATAGCACTGCAATAAACACAGAAGTCCAGGTATCCCTTATTGATCTCCCTTACTTTGGATATATACCCAGTAGAGGAATTGCTGATTAATATTGTAGTTCTATTGTTACCTTTTTGGGAACATTCTTACTGTTCTTTATAGTGGTTGTAGTAATTTACAGTTCCAACGACAGTGTACAAGGTTTCCTCTTTCTCCACATGCTCACTGGTATATTATTTCCTGCCTTTTTGATATAAAATATTTTAACTTGGGTGAGATCATATCTCATTTTGGTTTCAATTTGCATTTCTTTTATGATTAGTGATATTGAGCTTTCTTCATATACCTATTTGCCATTTGTATGTATTCTTTTGAGAAATGTTTGTTCAGAGCTTTTGCCTAATTTTTAACTGGACTGTTTTTTGTTTATGTGTTTGTTTGTTTTTTTTGTTTGTTTTTGCTACTAAGTTGTTTGAGCACCTTATGTATTCTGGTTATTTGTCAGATGGATAGTTTGCAAATATTTTCTCTTTCTATGGATGGTCCCTTCACTTTATTGTTTGCTTTGCTGCACAGAAGCTTTTTAGCTTGATGTATAATCACAGTTGTCAATTTTTTGTTTTTGATTCCTGTGCTTTTTAAGTCTTCTAAAAAAATTTTTCCTAGACTAATGTCCTGAAGTATTTTTCCATTATTTTCTTCTGTTACTTTCATAGTTTCAGGTCCCAGATTTAAGATGGGTTTTGTTTACGATGAGAGATAGGAAACTAGTTTCATTCTTTTGCATATAGATGTCCAGTTTCCCCAGAATTGTTTATTGAAAAGATTGTATGTTTTTGAGGCCTTTGTCAAAAATTAGTTGGCAGAAAAATGCATAAATTTATATCTGGATTTTCTATTCTGTTGCATTGGTTTTTATGTCTGTTTTTTATGCTGGTACCATACCGCTGTGGTTACCAAGATTCACAGTAAATTTTGAAGTTAGGTAGTGCCTCCAGCTTTGTTCCGTTTGCTCGGAACAGAACAAAGCTTTGGATTGTTTTGGCTGTTGTGGGCCTTTTGTGGTTTCATGTAAATATTAAGACTTTTATGTTCCATTTCAGTGAAAAATGTCTTTGATATTTTGATAAGCATTACATTGAATCTGTAAATTGCTTTGATTAGTGTTGTCATTTTAATGATAGTAACTCTTTCAGCCCATGGGCCTGGAGTATCTTTCTTTTTGTGTGTGTCCCCTTCCTTTTCTTTTATCAGCTTTAGTTTTCCTTGTACAGATATTTTACTTCTTTAATTTTATTTCTAAATAGTTTATATTTTTGTAGTTATTGTAAGTAAAATAGCTTTCTTAATTTTTTATCACATTGCTTGCTGTTGATGTATACACGTGCTACTAATTTTTTTTTTTTTTTTTTTTTGAGACGGAGTTTCGCTCTTGTTACCCAGGCTGGAGTGCAATGGCGCGATCTCGGCTCACCGCAACCTCCGCCTCCCGGGTTCAGGCAATTCTCCTGCCCCAGCCTCCTGAGTAGCTGGGATTACAGGCACGTGCCACCATGCCCAGCTGATTTTTTGTATTTTTAGTGGAGACGGGGTTTCACCATGTTGACCAGGATGGTCTCTATCTCTTGACCTCGCGATCCACCCGCCTCGGCCTCCCAAAGTGCTGGGATTACAGGCTTGAGCCACCGTGCCCGGCCGTGCTACTAATGTTTTTTTATGCTGATTGTGTGTCTTTCATATTACTGAATTTTTTTTATCAGCTCTAACAGCTTTTTGGCATAGCCTTTAGATTTTTTTTTTTGGTGTAAAATCATGTCACCTTTGAACAAGGCTAATTTAACTTCCTCCTTTCCAATTTGAACGCCTTTTAGTTCTTTCAATTGCCCAATTGTTCTGGCCAAGACTTCAAATATTATGTTGGACAATGGTGGTGAAAGTGGGCATTTTTTACTTGTACCAATCCTTATGAAAAAGGCCTTCATTTCTTCCTTGCTCAGTACTGTGTTTGCTGTGGGTTTGTATTATATGTTCTTTATTATTTTGAGGAATTTTCCTTCTAGACTCATTTTGACATAGATTTTATCATAAAAGAATATTGAATTTTATCTAATGTTTTTTATCACTTATGAAATAGTCATATGACTTCCTTTCTTGATTCTGATAATGTAGTGAATCACATTTATTGATATGTATGTGTTGAACTATCCTTACATCCTTGGTATAAATCCCATTTGATCACGGTGAATGATTATTTAGTGTGATGTTGAATTCAGTTTGCTAGAATTTGGTGAGAATTTTTGTATCTTTGTTCATCAGTGCTATTGACTAGCAGTTTGTTGTTGTTGTTGTTATTGTTGTTTTTGTTATGTCTTTGTCTGGTATTGGCAACAGGGCAAATACCAGCCTCATAGAATGAGTTTGGATGTATTTATTTTTCAAATTTTTTGAAATACATGTTACTTAACTTAAGACATTCAGGTTCTTATTTTAAATTCAAATACAAGACAAATGTTCCATGTTCCATATAATATTCCAGAGGTTATTACACTGTAATAAGGGAGGACTATTTTACCATTTTGTTACATAACCTATTGGTGGAGTGAAGAAGATAAAGTTAATATACATTCTTTCTTAATTATTTCCTTTATGAAATCAGTCACTTCAGGTTTCTATGGCATTTTGTTATCAAGGAGCATAGAATTTTACAGTTAAAAAGGGTTTTAATCTTACACTGTGTGCTTACCTTGTAAATGAACAAACTAAGTTTAAATTAGTTAAATGATTCACCAAAATTTCAAAAAAACCAACAAACAAACAATACCACCTATTTAGTAAGAGAGTCATTACTAAATGTCGACAAAGCTCATCCAGTTGTCTTTCCACTATAGGGGACTGCCTGCAATGAATAGTAGTTGTATAGAATTGCTTAGCTTCCTTCTGTCCTTTTTTATCAAAATGATAATACTAAACATCCAAGTATTTGAATTTTTGTAACTTATATATTGCCAGTTTTCTCAATGCCTCTTATCTAAAAATTAAGAGGCACCTGTTCTTATTTCCAAATAGAATTTTCTTCAATTGTTATGTCCCCATGTATGAAAAGGTTTACATTTTTTTCTGTGATTGTCTGAACAACATTGACCTGATTTCAAAATAAATGACTCTACAAAATCTAATGATAGAATACAGAATACTACACAGTAAAATTGAAGGTTATATTTTAAAAACTATAATTTCAAACTATTGATCAATGGTAATTTGAACACCTCTGGGTTAGTTCATGGGCATTTGGTAAACAAACAAACCCTTTAGGGTGAATAGAAACGATTAATATTAACATAATTCAATTCAATTACTTTTCATAGATTTACTAAGCCAATATTTTCTCCATTATTCCCCTATAGTTGGCCTATATTTCTGATCTGTTCCTCTTATTTGGTTTGGTCATTTAGACATTGGTATTACCTCTACTTAAGACAAAATTAGAAGAGCAACATTTAAATGAACAATTCACTAAAATAAATAAAGTCTATTTTTCCAAAGGCATGAAATTATACTGTTTCTTAGTGGTAAAATAGTATGAACGATACATTCTGTGTCTGTTTATTACTTTTTAGTTCTCAAAGGCAACTTTACTGTACTTTTACCTGCCACTTTGAAATAAGTTAGTTTTATAAATTAATTCAAAAATATTAATATATTTAAATGTATTTAGATTTTTGCATGAGAGGTCTATATTGTTTAGTTATATATAATATATACCATTTATATAGTGATAGTCCTAATTTTGTATACATATGTGTGTGTATAAATTTTTAGAGAAAATAAAATATTTTCCTTGGTCTTTACGTTTAAAATGAGACACACAGACGAAAAAAAAAAGCGTAAATTCCACCAATGAAAATACAGTATATCCAGTCTTCTCAGTATTTGGAATTATTACAAAAATTATCAGCATGATTCAATTTTCTACATGTTACCACTTTCTCTCAATTTTCTGAAAATCATCCATTGAATATTTAGAAAGTATTTTGGAGCATTTTAAATATAATTTTCTTTTGGCTATAGAAAATGTCAGTTCTATTGTTATTAAATGTATTTTTTTTTGCAGAATTTATTTATTTATTTTTATTTTTTGAAGAATGAGAGAAAGAAAGAAAAAGAATTAAAAAAAAAGAAAAAGAATAAAGGAAAGGAAGAAAGAGGAAAAAATACATTAAATGTTTTTTTTAATGGTAGTTCAACACGGTTAGATATTGTATATCTTCTTTCTAACTGTAGTGAAATAAAAAGTCCACTACTAATATCCACATCAAATTTAAGGGAATACAAATCTGTGTTAACAGTGAAGGCATTTATTTTGAAGTAAAAAATAAAACCAGGGAGCCTTTGGGTTTCATCTAACTTGGTGGAGTGTGTTTTCTTTTTTATTAAATAGAAAGTGACTTAAGTTTAGTGTAAGAGTGAGTTAGAGGCTGAGCTGCTAGTTTTATTTCAAATCCACATTGGAGGTTTAAGTGGAGATGTGATTGTTTCCAGTTCTTCACTCCCTTTTCTGATGTGGCCTTTTCTTTACTTGATTCATCTGTATGTCAAAGTTCCCAGAATACTTTGTGTTAGCTAAATTTGAATACTTATTTTTCTATATTTAATTATTAATGTAAACTATAAGCTAAGAAAAATAAAATACGTAATAAGGAGAGTTTAATTTTTATCACAAAATATCATGAAAAGAGAAGCAAAAGGACTCAAAAAAGATTAATTATAAAAAAAAAAAAAACTGTCCTAAAAGGCTTTGGGCAAATTGCTGCTTATTATGCAGCTGCAATTTGCCCAAAGCAAATATCTCTGAGTATTTCACAAAAGAGAAGGTTAAAGTGAGAAAATTAAAAAGGCTTCTTTATGACAGGCGACCTATAAATATAGGTCTTAGAATAAAAAAGATAGATGATGTTATTTACTTATTGTATTAGTCCGTTATCACGTTGCTAATAATGACATACCTGAGGTTGGGTAATATTAAAAGAAAAAGGTTTAATTGACTCATAATTCAACACGACTAGGGAGGCCTCGGGAAACTAACAATCATGGTGGAAGGGGAAGGAAACATGTCCTTTTTCACGTGGTAGAAGCAAGGAGAAGTGCTGAATAAAAGGGGAAAAAAACCTTATAAAAGTATCAGATATCATGAGAATTCACTCACTATCATGAAAACAGCATTAAAGTAAACACACCCATGGTTCAGTTATCTCCCATGAGGTCTCTCCCAGGACATCTGAGGATGATTGGTACTACAGTTCAAGATGAGATTTAGGTGGGGACACAACCAAACCATATAATTTCATTCGGCCCTTCCCAAATCTCATGTCCTCACAATTCAAAATGCAGTCATGCCTTCAGTTACCCAAAGTCTTAACTCATTGCAACATTAACTCAAAAGCCCAAGCACAAAATCTCATCTGAGTTAAGGAAAGTCCCTTCTGCCTACACGCCTGTAAAATCAAAAGCAAGTTAGTTACTTCCTAGATACAATGGGTGTACAGTCATTAAGAAAATACACCCATTGAGATACCATCTCACACCAGTTAGAATGACGATCATTAAAAAATCTGGAGACAACAGATGCTGGATGTGAAGAAATGGGATCACTTTTACACTGTTGGTGGGAGTGTAAATTAGTTCAACCATTGTGGAAGACAGTGTGATGATTTTTCAAGGACCTAGAAATAGAAATTCCATTTGACCCAGCCATCCCATTACTGGGTATATACCCAAAGGATTATAAATCATTCTATTATAAAGACACATGCACACATACATTCATTGTGGCACTGTTTACAATAGCAAAGACCTGGAACCAACCCGAATGCCCATCAATGATAGGCTAGACAAGGAAAATGGGGGACATATACACCATGGAATACTATGCAGCCATTAAAAAACAATGAGTTCACGTCCTTTGTAGGGACATGGATGAATCTGGAAACCATCATTCTCGGTGAACTGACACAAGAACAGCAAAACAAACACTGAATATTCTCATTCACAGATTTGTGTTGAACAATGAGATCACATGGACACAGGGAGGGAAGCATCACACACTGGGGTCTGTTGGGGGAAAATAGGAGAGGGACAACAGGGGGTAGGGAGATTGGGAAGGGATAGCACGGGGAAAAATGCCAGATATAGGTGATGGGGGGATGGAGGCAGCAAACCACATTGCCATGTATGTTCCTATGCAACAATCCTGCATGTTTTGCACATGTACCCCAGAACCTAAAGTGCAATAAAATGCATATATATATATATTTTTTTTTTAAAGTAAAAAATTCTGAAAACCTCAAAAAAAAAAAAAAGAAAAGAAAAAGAAAATACACCCATTTAAGTGGGAGACATTGGCCAAAACAAAGGGGTCACAGGTCCCATGCAAGTCTGATTTAATAGGGCAGTCGTTAAACCTTAAAGCTCCAAAATGATCTCCTTTGATTCCATATCTCACATCCAGGTCACACTAATGCAAGAGGTAGGCTCCCATGGCCTTGGTCAGCTCTCCCCCTGTCACTTTCCAGGGTAGAGTCCCCATTTGGGCTGCTTTCATAGACTGGCATTGAGTTCCTGTGGCTTTTCCAGGAGCATGGTGCAAGTTGTTGGTAGATCTACCATTCTGGGGTCTGGAGGACAGTGGTCCTCTTCTTACAGCTTCACTAGGCAAAGCCCCAGTAGGCACTGTGTATGGGGGCTCCAATCTCACATTTCCTTTCTGCACTGCCCTGGCAGAGGTTCTCCATGAGAGTTCTGCCTCTGCAGCAGACTTTTGCCTGGACATCCAGGTGTTTCCATACATTCTGTGAAATCTAGACAGTTTCTGAAATCTCAGTTCTTGGCTTCTGCTCACCCACAGGCCCACCACATAGCACCTTCCAAGATTTGGGGCTTGCACCTTCTGAAGCAATGGCCTATGCACTGTCTTGGCTCTTTTTAGTCATGCTAGAGTGGCTGATTTGCAGAGTATCAAGTTTCAAGGCTGAACACATCAGGCCGTAGACTTAGCTCACAAAACAATTTTTTCCTCCTAGACCTCTGGGCCTGTGATGGGAGGCACTGCCATGCAGCTCTCTAACATGTCCTGGAGGCATTTTCCACATTGTCTTGGTGATTAACATTCAGCTCCTCATTATTTATGCAAACTTTTGCAGCCAGATTAAATTTATTCATTGATAATGAAGTATTCTTTCCTATGGCATTGTCAGGCTGCAGATTTTCCAAACGTTTATTCTCTGCTTCTTCGCAAACATTTTGCCAATTAAAAATGTATTCTGCTAGACACCCTAAATCATCTCTCTGAAGATCAAAGTTCCACAGATCTCTGGGACAGGGAGAAAATGCCAGCAGTCTATTTGCATAGCAAAAGTGAGCTTTATTTCAGTTCCCAGTAAGTTCCCCATCTCTATCAGAGACCACAGAAGCCGGAACTGCATTGTTATATCACTATCAGCATTTTGGTCTAAACGATGCAACAAGCCTCTAGGAAGTTCCAAACTTTCCCACATGTTCCTGTCTTCTTCTGAGCCTTCCAAAAGCTTCTAACCTCTGCCTGTTATCTGTTCCAGTTGCTTCCACATTTCCAGCTTCAAATGTGTTAAAATAATTTAATAATATGTGGAAAACAATACAATGAATTTATTATAATATTATCTTTTTGGATGGCAGTAAAATAGTAAAATTTTATACAATTCAATGGCATCATGATAGATTAGTTTGGCCTCTTCTAAAATTTCATATAATTGAGATCATATGGTAAATTTATTTTTGTTTCTAGCTTATTTTTCTCTATTTGATTTTGATATTTATTTGTCTTATATGAATTGGTAATTTATTCCTTTTTATCACAGACTAGCAAGTCATTATGACTTGTTAATCTGTGATATGTACTTCCATTTGTTTGTTCTCTTTTCTTTGGTCATGAAAGTTTATTCCAGCATGGATTATTATGAATAAAGCTACGACAACATTTATTTTGCAAATCTCTTTTTGAACATCTATTTTTGTTTCTTTGGGAGGATATAAATTTCTAAGATTGGAATTACTGGCATAAATTAGGTGAATGGGTATATCAAACATCTCTCTACTTACTTTGGGTTTAATTTGCTCTTTGTTACCTATCTTCTTAAGGCATAATCCTAAATTATTATTTTGAATCTTTTTGCTTCTTTAATATGAGCATTTTAAAGCTATAAATATCCCTCTAATAACTGCTTTTTTTGCATCTCACAGGATTTGATATCTTCCATTTTTATTAACATTTAACTTAAAAATTGTCTAATTTCCTTACAATTATATATTATTTCACTTTGACTGATGTGTTACTTAAAGGTACATTGCTTACTTACAAAACCAGCTGTTGTGTGGGTAGACACTGAGCTAGCTGCAGGAGATTTTTTTTTTTTTTAACCCCCGTAGTACCTGGAACTCTAGCAAGACAGAACCATTCACTCCCCTGGAAAGGGAGCTGAAACCAGGGAGCCCGGTGGTTTTGCTAAGTGGGTCCCACTGCCATGGAGCCCAGCAAGTTGAAATCCACTGACTGAATATCATCTTGCTGCACCCACAGCAGTCTGAAGTCAATCTGGAATGCTCGAGCTTGGCATGGGAGGGGCTTCCTCCCCTTACTGAGGCTGGAGTAGGTGATTTTCCCTTCACAGTGTAAACAAAGCTGCCCAGAAGTTCAGACTGGGCAGAACCCACTGCAGTGCCACAAAGCCAATGTGCAGACTGCCTCTCTAGATTGCTCTGCACTGGGCAGGGATTCACTGAAAGAAAGGCAGCAGCCCGAGTCTGGGACTTGTGGGCAAAACTTACATCTCCCTGGGAGAAAGCATGTGGGGGAAGGGGTGGCTGTGGGTGCAGTTTCACTAGTCTTAAATGTTCCTGCCTGCCAGCTCCAAAGAGAGCAGCAGGTCTCCCAGCACAGTAATCAAGCTTTGCTAAGGGACAGACTATCTCCTCAAGTGGGTCCCTGAACCCCATGTGTCCTGAGTGAGAGACAATTCCCAGCAGGGTTCAACAGATGCCTCATACAGGAGAGCTCCAGCTGGCATCTGGCGGGTGCCCTTCTGGAATGAAGCTTTCAGAGGAGGAAGCAGGCAACAATATTTACTCCATAAATATGTACAATTATTATGTGTGAATCAAAAATAAAGTAAAAATAAGTATGTGGCAATTCATTAAACAGCAATAGATAACTAATGCAATAAGTTAGTAAAGATATCCAAAACCTGGGCTGGGTGCAGTTGACTCAGGCCTGTAATCACAGCACTTTGGGAGGTCAAGAGGCACAGGTCATTTGAGGTCAGGAGTTGATGACCAGCCTGGCAAACATTGTGAAACCCTGTCTCTGCTAAAAATATAAAAATTTGCCAGGCCTGTTGGCACACACCTGTAGTCCTAGCTACTTGGAAAGCTAAGGCAGGAGAATAGCTTGAAGCTGGTGGGGAGAGATTGCAATGAACCAAGCTCATGCCACTGCACTCCAGCCTGGGCAACAGAGTGAGAGAAACTTTGTTTAAAAAAAAGAAATTGGGGAATTTTTAGGTGTATCATTTATATATAAACATCAGTTAGAGTGAGACTATATCCTTACTAAAAAAGGACTATTGGATATTAATGTAATGTATTGGATATCTGTAAAGGTCATAGGCTCCATCTACTAGGAAATTAAGCCCAATGAGTAAATTTATTTTTAAGAAAATACAGAAAGCCTAAATTATGAGAACATCACCAAATAGTATGTTCTTAATTGTTTTTCATAGCCAGAAATTCATGAATACAAAGGGGTTTATCTTCCCTGTCGCTTAATTGTTGAATGATACCTAGAAGCAGGTGTTTGTAACAACTGGCACTGTAATATTTAGATGTAGTTATATCTACAACCCAAATGAAACTGAGAATTTATTGAGTAGTGACCTGTATCCACCAACCCATTAATTGAGAATGCTTTGTACATTGGAAGAGGTGGTTTCTGTTGGGATAGGATACTGGATGATATTGTAACTTGAATTGTTGTATACTGAGATGATTTTAAAACATTCCATTATAGCTAAAAAATATAATAAAGGTTTGAAGTTCATTGATTTAGGTAAATGAAAACGAATCTGATGCAAGTGAAGATGAGATTATTTTAATAAGTTGAGTTGGATATTCCAAATGATATAATTAAAATGGGAACCCATTGGCCATGAAAACAAATGACTTTCAAATAAATGTCATCATCAATACATATAAAATTTTTTAATTAATGTGAATTATAAAGTAATTTAGGAAAAAAGACTCAAAGAATTTTACATACTTCATACAGGAAACTCCTGCGCTGAATGCATATAGCTTAAATTTTCATCCGCATCTAATGGTAGTAGGCATATTCCTTTATGTAAGATTTTGCAGAAAATGCTGTAGTATGAATAATGACTGCCTGATACATGTGGCAAGAAGATGTTGACAAAGTCAGAGAATGGTCGAAGGAGAAAGTGGTTTAAGCTTCTTGCCTTTGAAGCATTTCTCTCCTAATTACTCAGGGTCAACTCCTGGGTGACAAAAGCAAGTTACTTGGCCTAGACATCTTGAAAACATGCAAATAATTCTTATAACAGACCACACAGACTCATATTTTCTAAAACTGGTGTTCTTATTTATAAAATGCAACAATTGATAGCTGTTAAATTTTCATTTCAAATATTGAATTCTGCAGGTCTAGAATTTTAGTTTAGTTCATTGTATCCATATCTTGTGGAGATTCCCAGTCTTTCATTTACATGCCTCTTTTAAGTACATAAATATTTTTATCACGTGTTTAACTACATTTATCTTTAAAACCCAAACATCTGTGTCATCTGAGTTTGTTAGTACAGCTTTTTTCCCCCATTACTTAAGAGTCATATTTACCTGCTTCTTTACATGTCTAGTAATTTTAATTCTATCCTGAACAAGGAAGATGCTATAAGCTTATGTTTGCCCACATTTAAATTGTTTTAAGTTTAGTTCTGGCTAGCAGACAGATGTGTTTTATCCTATAAAACCTTGGTTACAGAAATTGTTATGCAGGACACAGCCTATTTCTTACTCAAAGACTAGAGTAACCCTGCTCCTAAAACGTCTTTCCTGGTTCACCATAGCATGTCTGTCTGTTTAATGAGACATCTCCAATTTGGCTAGTCACACCCCCTAATGCACATTCGGTGAGGCCTTCAGAATACGCATTCATCTCCCTGATTCCCTATCCCCTACTGTTAGCTATTCTCTGACTGGTTTCAGGGTCTTGCCCAGTGCATGCACAAGTTAGTATTCAGGCAAAGTCCCAAAGGGAAACGTATCCAGTCCTCTGGATTTTCTTTTTTAGCACTAGTTTCCTGTCCTATAGATTCCAGTTGATTCAGCAAGCTCCAGTCCCCAAACCGTGTATCTGCCAGTCAGATCTCTACGTTGTTTGACTAAGCTCTCCTCCATATATGTACATTTCCTAAGGATGCATTTGTGTCTCTCTGACAATTCTTGGTGTCATAATTTGGGTAGTGACCATTATAGAAAGCCAAGGTGAATGCAGAGGTCACCACTTTTCTTCCTTTCTCTCAAGCACCAGGGCCCTGTGCTGCCCAATTCGTTATAAAAAGTTGCTTTGTATATGCTTATCTTTTCTTTGTAATTGGTTTCTGAAGTCCCTTGTCTGTTTTTAATGTCTCATTTTTTAAAAAATCTCCCTTGTTTGATTCTTTAGTAGCAACTTGAAAATTATACATATTTTCCTACTTTGATCAAAATCTTGAATTTTATCACAATAATTTGCCAAACTAATTTTTGAGAATATTTTTCCTGATTGGTTCCATTTCAAATAAAATATTTAAATGACTTTAGTTGTTCTTTTTTTATTTTAATTGTTTTGGGTACATAATAGGTGATATTTTTTCATCAATTGTTTCAGAAACAAAATTATTGTTAACACAGGTTTGTATTTTGGAATTATATTCAGAAATTACTTTTGAGATTTGCTTTGTCTCTCTCAAATTTTTAGCAGGGTTTAGATATTATGCTCTTAATTTTGTTATCTTAATAATCAAATATTTCTGTATGTGATAGATTTCTGTTTCTGGATTCTCTGTTAAATGAGGTAAAGTATAGCAATTCCTTGCCTAAATGAGGCAGTTAATAAATATTGTCTGCTATTACTGCTATCATCATCATTAAACGGCACACATATCACCAACAGTGCCCAACATTTTCAAGCTTCAAATTGAGAATTTCTAAATTACAAAGATGGTAGACCTGACTCATTTGAAATAGAATGTTTTCTCTCTCCCTCCATCTCTCTTTCATGAAAAAAATTTTTTTTTATCATTAGCTGGTTGCACAAAAAAGCAATAATACAT